CAAATCACCTCATTAACTCAGCAACAGTCAACGTCCAAATAGGTTTATTTCTATAGCACACATCTGAGAGAGTTAGAGGCGGCTTCAATTTCAATGGAGAAGATGTTTCTCGAAATGTTCATGAAGATGCCAAACAAGACGAGGTGTTGAAGCAGCTCAAGACCCATGCTAGAATGTTCTAAGTTTGGATTGCTTTCATTTTGGTCATTCATTGCATTCTCTACTACTTCGATAGCAAAGAAGAACTCAAGATTGAATGAAATGCAAAACGAGAAAAGACCCAGTGGGGGCGTCGATGGTGAACTTTCGACAGGGGATGGGGCAGCAGTGGACGTTGACAGTGTGGATCTAGAAAGAAATGAATTAAGTGATAGCGTAGGATTGTGTGAGGTAGGTAGTGGTGGATCCAAGAAAATATTGAGAACGGGCTAGCAAAAAAATAAAAATCACACATATTTTTTTTTACTTAAATCTTTCTTGTTCATTAGCATTTGGGCTGGGGGACGGGCCGGGCTCCGCCAATGGACGTAGGGCACGACAAGTTGTAGCATATACCTGATTTTTAAAAAGATAAATTTAAATTCTGATTTTTGAAAAAGAAAGATTATTAGTAGACCTAGATATAATTTTCCAAAAAAAAAAAAAAAGAGGAGAGAGAAAGTAAAAGTCTCTAGTTATATGTCAAAGTATGCTAATTTTCAAACTGCTCAATAGACCCATTAAATAGTCTATACTCCTATCAAATGCCATTATGGAATAGAGCTTTTTAACCACCTTAAAAGAAAACAAGAATAAAAAGACTCTGAGATCAAGTGTAACTTAAAGTGTTTAGAGCATAATCTCAGTAGATTAGTGAGTTGAGTTTAGGTTTCATTCGAGGGGAGGGATGAAATCTATACGATCTAAGATCTGTAATTTCTATTGTTCCAATTTGTTTGTCTCACCAATAAAATGTTGACAACTCATTAAAATAAAATTTAGGGAAAATTGTAGTAGTGATTCCAAACTTTTCACTTTTTGCAGACCTTACTTTAACTTTCATTTTGTGCCACCCACAGTCTCAAACCTTTCAAAAATATGCATCTGAGGTCCAAATAGATGGAAGCCGTCCATTTGACTGTTAGTTGACCAAGAAAATTGGACTTCGACCAAATTGAAAAGGGGTAAAATGATAACATTAGAATTAACATTTTTTTTTCAACATTATTAATAATTAAACTAAGAAAACAAAAAAGAAAGCAACCCTATCTTTATCTTCTTCCCTCTCCCCACCTTCAGCCCTACCCCTCCAGCCAAACCATAATCCAAAGTCGCCGACAGCCACCACCAAACCCACAGCCACACAAAAACCAAAACCACCTCCACTAAATCGAACCATCACCTTCCACCTCCATTTCTTCTAAACTTCAACACCGCCTCCACTAAATTGAACCCAAAAGTTACGGGAATTCAAAAGATCTACTTGAGCGATCCTTACCTATTTCACTTCTCCCATGGTGTACATGGTTTCTGTTTTCTCGTCCATAAAATTCATTTTCCAACCAATTTTGTGATCTCTTACCAAGATCCTAGCTAAGAGCCATGGATTCACAAAGGAGACTCTCTACACCAAACATAGGGACAGTGCCATTTGGTTTCAAGGAAGGTAAGGTGCATCCCGGATATAGCAATAGCTTGATTTGCTTGGAGGGTTTCAAATAAGGAAAGTGCATCATATTGGTCAGTACTCGACCGAATTTTCTATGTTGCAGTCGTGGTAGAGATGGTGGTGGTGGTGGGATTTTCCACCAATAATTTCTTGTAGAATTGAATTGATTAATTTGAGATAGATGGATAACTGTCCATCGAGTCGACTATGGGTTTTGTGGTGGCGATTGGTGGCTTTGGATTGTGTTTGGTTGGATGTTAGGTGGGGATGGGGGTGGATATTGGGTTGGGTTAGTTTGGGCGACTGTGGAAGGCAAGGAAATGGCAGCGCGGCGATGGTTGAAGGTTGTGGAGTTGTGGCGATTTCGGGAAGTAACTGATTAGTTGTCGATGAGTAGGCTGTGGTGGTGCCGACGGGTTTGTTTAATGTGGTGGTGGTGTCGGCAGCTATGGGAAGAAGAAGATTTCTTTCCTTTTTTTTATTTAATTGTTCGAATTGTTAATAATAATTAGAAATATGTAAATATACCTTTTCGCCCTTTCTAATTTGGTCAAAATTGATTAAATTTTGACTTTTCTGGTCAAGTAACTGTCGAATGGATAGTTTCCATCCATTTGGATCTCAGGTGCATATTTTTAAAAGATTTGGAATTGTGGTTGGTACAAAATGAAGATTAGGGTAAAGTCTGCAAAAAAGTGAAAGTGAAAGGTTTGAGACCGCTGCTGCAATTTTCCCTAAATATTATTTGAATCATGAGATCAACTTGCAAAATAGAAAATATTTGCCCTAACCTGGTCCCAAAATTCATTTTGGTCTTCCAATTCTAAATTGAAAATGAGATAGATAAAATTATGGCAGGAATTTTTGTTTCCTCCAACTCCACCATGATTAAACATTGACTTGGTGGTTGAGAAATTGTTTGTCATTTCAAATCACACTAGGAGTAAAAAGTTGAATGGATATGAAACTTAGGGCTCTATGCAATACAAGCTTATGCTTGTCCTATTTATCCAATGTTTTTTTCTTAGCAGTTTTATTTCTCCCCTTTATTTTTAATTATAATTCAGGCCCCGTTTGTTTCCTATTTTTGTAAAAATAGAATGAAAAATTTAGTTATTGCGGACCTCACACAAGAAATAGAAATTCAAATTTGACGGCTTGATGTGATGGATAACGGTCTTATTTTTCATTTTAACGAGGAAAGAATGGGAAACAAACGGGGCTCAGTAAAAAACTTAATTCTACGCATCCATTAATAAATAATAACGATCATTTTGTGCAAAGTAAATACGTAAAACGGTTAAAAATTACAGTAAAAAACCTTTTTCTAAAGGTTGAACACACACAAACCGACAAGAAGTTAAAGCATCTTTACACAACTGGGAAACAGCCTAATTCTATGTTATTTTAAATTATTTACATGTAATTGGCTTGCACTTGAGTTGAAGAAAGCTACTTAAGTTGAAGAAAGCTTAATTATTTAGTGCAATCAATCACATTTTTGAGTATAGATTCTTCATCTTTTTACCTTTAATCACTTGGAGAATGCAAATAGTCAAACATTGCAGTCTCATCGAATCTTCTAAGGTCTATTTGGTATAACTTCTGCTTACAACATTTTTTTCTAAGAAGAGCTTCCTTCAAAACCAATTTCCTTCAAAAACTCGATTTATTGGAGGAGAATGCCTTTAGAAAATTATCCAAACAATTCCCAAAAGGAAAAAAAAAGACTTTTCAAAATCTTGCTAAATGGGCTCCAATTCTAGATTAAAGAAAATATAGTTTCATTTGTTCAGTCTTTTTTTTCCCCCAATAAGTCGATCACGCTCGATATTACCTATTATTAAGAAAATACAAGGAGGGGAGGGGGTTCTTCCTCGTGCTGTTTGTGTTTTATCTAATTGTTAACTGATTATTAGAGAAAGGCATTCAGTTAAAACTCAAGACAAGACACTGATTTTATTGCATACCAACAAGAATTACAGATATTAATGTTTGATCCTACCTTATTTTGTTTTGAGGCCCTTGTGTCACTCCTCAATTTGATCTTCTCAACCCTTTTTATAATTCTTATTTAATAGATTAACAAGTTTAAAGAAATATAATTTTTTTCTTGCATGTTTTTCGACTAAGAAATTTTCGACAATATTAAAGGAAAAATAAATTTAAATCTCGTTTATTTTGCTATACGACGATACAAAGCATTGCATACACTATGTTAAAATAATATAGCGCATAATGTAAGAACATTATTATTAGATTATGCATATAAGTAAACTTTTATTTCTATAAACCGTTGAATTTATATTTTTATAAGCTAAAAATGGGAGAAAATTAAGGATTGGTTCTCTAATTGTGTGATTATGAGTCCCAAGTAATTATAATTCTAGCTTAAAGTCATGTGGAATAGTGATTGACCATTATTCGAAGAAAATAGAGTTTTGAATTGTGATTTTTAAAAGAACACGTGATTAAAAAGTAGAAATTTTTTTTAATTTACGTGTAAAATATTTTATTATATAAATGCGAGGTTAAAAATAAATATGTGAAAAAAAGAGTTTGAAAATAATTATTGTCAAATAGAGGCTTCATGCGGTTGAAATCGCTAATGTGGATGATAAAATGACATCACACAACTTCTATGTGACTTTAAGCTGGAGCAAAACTTTCAAAATACTTAAAATTTTTCTCCGGTTCAAAAGTTTTGTACAATTTTTCGCTTTGACAATTTCAATCACATAATCACGTGAAACCTAAATTAAATATTTAAATACGTTGAGTATTTATCGTGAAAACATATTGAAGATCAGAAAACCCAACCTTTCCTGAAGAAATGCTACTTGATATATGTTAAAATTTCTATGTTTGAGTGTCATTCTCCAAAAATTCATTTTTTTCTCTTAATTCATTTTAACCACACATTTTTATAATAGAATAATTCTATATGTAAATTTAAAAGTGTACTCTACTTTTTTACCACATGATTTAAAAAATAATAATATTACAAAATTTATTCTTTCAATAAAATGGGGCTCAAAACACATCCATGGAATAAATTTTTTATGGGGCAGCCAAACATTCACTGAAAAATTATTATTTATTGGCAATTCTTTTAATTAATGCAGACTATTCTCCCGCCTGTTTCGAGCTTGGAAAGGCCAGGGAAGAAGCGGGTTTTCTGGGAGTAGTACTTTGGTAAGTGAAAGCTGTCAGTCCTCAAGACCAGGAATTACAAATTAAAATAAATATGAAAGGAAATTGGAATTTTACTGTTGTAGATGATAAGCACTTCTAACTGTTTATAAAGTTTTTGATTTGAAAGCAAATAGTATTCCATTTACTGTGGTGTCGCACCACCGTATCCAGGTGTCGCCTCCTCAATTCCCACTGCCGTACGTAATAGACCTTTTTTACGGGATTCTGGGCTTACTTTAAACAGTGTTGAATTTTATCTGTACTGTAAAGAATAGTATTCCACATCCATACACTGTGGTGTTAGTGCTACCCCGCCACGACCAGGTGTCGCCGCCCTCCTCACCGCCTTACGTTATATGTTATCGCGTTTTAAATCATTTTGAGGGGTAGGGTTTAAACAGTGACGAATTTTCTCTATATATGTATATACTGTATGCTGTGTTATGTAGATGTTGGAAAACTCACACTGGTTGTACATGTTGTACGTTTATACAGAAACCCATTTCTCAAAATAATCCAAAATTGTTGCTAAGTTGCTAAAAAGAAAAAGGTTGAAACCCCCCACAAATTATAGTACACTTGAGCACTGAGCGATGAATTTACCTAGAACAAGAAGAAAAACAGGAGTAATCCCTGTAGAAAACACCCAATTTTAGCAACAAAAAAGATTGGAAATTTTCAGAAAAAAATTCGAAATTTACAGTTGACACAGAAAAAGAAGATCAAGAATAGCAGCTACTCCTCGTCATCCACTTTCGAAAGCGAAGAAATAACATAGTTAAAACTAAGTGGCCTATTTTTGTCATGATGAGAAGAGAAGAATCTGAAGGAGGAAGCAGTAGGTGCCAAGACTGCGGAAATCAAGCTAAGAAAGATTGTGAACATTTTAGGTGCCGAACTTGTTGCAAAAGCCGAGGTTTTCAGTGTCAAACCCATGTTAGCAGCACTTGGATTCCTGTATCAAGAAGGCGGCAAAGGCATCAACAGATGCAAATTTCTTCTGTCGCTCAACAACAGCAACTTCTTGGTTCAAACCCTAAAAGACACAGAGAGAATCCAGCATTAGGTACTGTATTTATCACACTGTACAAAGATTTACAGATCCACAAACACGAATTCTTGTTTGAACAACTGAAACTCCATAGTGAAAGTGTATAGTTCAAAACCCTAGAGCCTGCAGTTCCTACAGTGTGTGTAGGAAGCCATTACCAGTATTCTTGATGTACTTAAAATAACCCAAAAATCTCAATTTCTGTATACTTTTGCCGATGTGTTTCTAGCTTAACTTAGATTTAGTATATCTTAATATGGGTTATCTTGGTTTGATTATTTTATGTGTGTTTGTTAAATTAGGGCTAGAAGGTAATTTTCCGGCGGAAGTGAGTTCTCCGGCGATGTTTAGATGCGTTAGATTGAGCTCGACAGACAATGCGGCGGATCAATATGCATACCAAACATCAGTGAACATCGGAGGACATGTATTCACTGGAATTCTTTATGACCAAGGCCCTGAGGGAACTTATGTCGCCGGAGAAAGCTCTTCCGGTGGCATGATGCACCCGGATTTTAACGCCGGCAGCACTGGTACGGCGTCCCCGCCTTCTTATCCTAGCACTTTTAGTGCTTTTACAACTGGTTCTCATCAGTTCTTCCAATACCCAAAATCTTGAACAAAATTGTCCCTTAATGAAATTCTCTCCTCTCTGTCTCCATTTTAGGCACATTAATGTGAGGAACTCAATAACCAGACAAATATTTGACTAGGAAAAAGAGGGACAAATCATTTGTTCTTTATAATTCCGATGAAGAATAACTTGCTCGTCTGTGATTTGATTTTTGCATTTTGTCCCATTGCCAAATTCTGTATTATTTCTTGCTAAATTCTTGACTGCTTATGAACTTCGAAGCTACTTTTTCCCCAGATTACCCGTTTCTTTGCTGGTCAAGCTTTCCCGGTAGCTTCGTGCTCGCATGATGACTATATGTGTGCATGTATTTGTATAATCTTAAACTTTATTAGATCATCACATGACAGTGAAGGATACAATACATAATTAAATATATGATGCCTACCAATAATTGCTCTTAAGAATTTTACAACCTTTTAAGTTCTTTACGTTTTAATTTGATTATGAACACTGATAAGTTGATTAATTAAAACATGCATCAAAATGATATCTTATGCTTTTCTGAATTATTAGTGAATTAAACTTTCCCCTTATTGCATGTTTAAGAATACTAGATCGAACAACGTTCGACCTAATTAAGATGGTGTTTGGTATCGCTTTTAATTACTTATATGTCACATAATGTATGAATAGTAAATTTTGAAAACCTAGAATGTTTGAATTAAAATTTTGTTTGACGAACTGATTGTTCTAATGTCCACTACTTAATCTTCGGTATGACATAACGTCTTAGTTTGTCTGTCTAAGACCTTGCCTAGTGCACATATATATTTATGATGATGATTAAGATAGTAAACACGGTGGCCCTATTTCTAAAAAGTAAGAAGCAAACACTTGAGAGATAATATTTAATTATACTTAATGCAGAAAGATTAATTAGGTGGGCATCTTCTAATATTTTGATGATTGTGTCCTCAATCAAGAAGCACCTAAGAAGCCCCATGTTTAATTATCCTTTTATGCGAAAGAGACATTCACACTAACCAAAGGAAAGAGTTGATACCACCCCCACATAATAATAAAAACACTTAAGAATATATCCTTAGAACTGTGAAAAGAATTGAAGAAAAAAATAAATCCTTCAATTATATATATGCAACTTGAATAAAAAACACTAAGAAATTCTCAATTACTTTCCGATTTTATCGATTTAAAAAAACTCCTTTTATGGAAGAAGTAACAATTTAACTTTTGGAAAAAAAAAAAACCCCAAGGGGCCAGGCGTGAGGGGCTTTTTACAAATGAATTATTCTTGTAATAAGCATGCATTTCAGGTTTTTATTTATTTTTTCATTTTTATTTATTTTTTCTTTCTTATTGCTGATCTTTGGAGTCACTTCGGAGATCATTATAGAGTGCTTTTTAAAGGTTTCAATGCTTCTTTACACAAAGAGAATGAGTATCCCTTGTACGGATTTTATGCACGTCTTCACTCTTAATAATCCTTGAGGCTTGTTTGCCCAAGCTTGAAAGTAAGTAAAAGTTACTTTATTAGCTTCTAACTCTTTATATGTTTATCTTTTTCTTTTTTTAAATACAAAATGCTACTTATTTTTGAAAGTAAATTGTTAGAATAAGTTATTTTTATTTCTAATATTTACTCTAGAAAGACATTTGTTATTGCACTTACTTAAACTTTTTAAGTTTAGCCAAACACTTTTTAGGTATTATTGTAATTACAACTTAAGGTAGTGAAAGTCTTTATTCTGCTTAGGGTTTTGTAGTTTTCCCTTTTACTTTGGAGTCTTTTCAGATTAATTATTTAAATGATTAAATTGCACCTTTTCCTTCTCTCCGGAGAAATAATGATAGCAGGAATAGGACTTCTTGAGTTTAAGTTCGCCGTCGCGTATTCTTCTTTTAAAAAAGTGTGCACAAATTAGGATTTTGATTAGAATATTGAGTTTGTGTGATTTACTTGACAGCTTGAAACATTATTGTTGTTTATAATGTGTCTGTTGCATTTTGTAGCGCACCTCAATTCTCTCAAATCTGTATGCTTGTTCGATCCCTTAAGTTATGGATCCTAATTATTCATTGTGCGGAGCAAAAAACGTAAATTGAAAAAGAGAGAAGATGGGGTGTTCGATTTTGTAAATTTCTTTCATGATAGTGAATTACTATAAGGTGGAAGATGACGTAATCTCACATAAAGACGAACTTTTATAAATCTTGCTTGTTCTACTTTTTTATGTGATTTTATTGCTCTTGATGACATAATTAGGATTTTCAATAAAGATCCGTATGCTTTACATCTCGATTTGATCAGTATATATTCTAGAAACCGTCACTAATTCCATCATTGGGATTTTTCCTATATTTTTTTTCTTAATTATCGTTGATGGCTTGCTAATTTTCGTTGAAGGTTTGCCAATAGTCACCTTTTTACAACATCGTTTTCAGTCTTAAAAGTAGCTTTTTTCCCCCTGATTGTATTATGCCTGAAGAGAATTGTTTGCAAGTAATTTGCTTTTCACTCTTCTGCTTTGTAATTATCATGTTTCTCTTGTGAAAAGTAAATTACATAAATTGAACATCCTGCAAAATAGAAAGAATAAATACTTTTGTTTAGTATGTATCTTAGAATCACTATGACTAGAGATGTTTATTTTGTGTAAAAAGTAGTTTTGGACGGCATAGTGTAATGTATTTTAACATTTTCTAATATTTTTAGTGATTACGCTTAAGAAATTCTCGGGGACTAGAGAAAGAGCTTACGTATAATTATTGTACCATGTTTGATAGAGTGGGTTAAAACTTTTAATTTTCTCTTCTCCCATAAAATAGCACAATACTATTAAGTTCATCTAATTAATTGTGGGATGAAGGTGACAAAGTATCATTTTAATATCACGACTCACAAAAAAGTGAGTCCAAATTTATTGTCTATATTATAATGAACTCTCGACTATCCACTATAAAATTAATTTAACATCATACTACATTAGTTCTTGTTAATAAATGGCAAGAAGCCACTTCGAATGTGAAATTTTTTGTAATGTAGTACTTCTATGTTTTGTTATTATTACGAAGAACTAATGTAGTGAGGTGCCAAATATTTAGTGAGACGTCAAATGGGAATGCACTTGGTTGATTAATGGATTAGTGTCTCGGCTTCGAAGATTCATTTGATTATTTTGACAAATTTAGAATTGTTTACATAGGATTAATACTATTTATTCTCTTTAGATATTTAATTTTATGTAATGTTGTGAACAATTTTGTTTTTTAATGCTAAAACTTTATACAAATTTTCACGTATCTTTAATAAAGAAATTGAAGCAGAATCAAATAAATTTGACCATCTTCATCTTTATAATTTACGATTCACCAAATTTTAGTCAGAGTGTAATTTAAAATGTTTTTCCCTGATTAATAACCAATAGCAAGGGTTAAAGTGAAAGTGAAAATGAAAATGAAAATAAATTAATAATTGTAATGAAGAGAAATTAACAGCTCTCTCAAAATATTAATTACATATTTTGTACTTAGTATCGGAGGAAATTTACAAAACATGAAATACACCTTGTATATAGTGTGTAATTATTTACATACTGTATTTTATAAATTTATATTTTACATATAAATATTTACAAAAAAACACATTTAATTGAAAAAATATAAATATATTATTAATCATTATAAATAACTATATAGACAAAAATACATCCAAAATAACAAATCACATCCAATAATTACGGTAACTTGCAACCCAAAAATTAAGAATGCACGTGTAATTTTATATATATATATATATCCAATGTGGATTACATTTTTCTTTTCTGCGAGAAAGTTCTACATAAGATAAGAATTTATAAATAGAAATAATAAAAAATATCTATGTATGTGTAAAATATGAAAACGAAAAATTATTATATATGCAAGGCAGTGAGAGGCTCGTCTAAATTTTATTTTACGGAAGGAAAGATGAATGATAAAGGAAAAAAAAATAAAATTTCAGATGAAAATGAAACTGCATTTGAATTTTTGGAGACAGAGAAATTTAAAATAGTTAAAATTAGTATGTAAAGTGTTACATAATGTAATATAAAGGGTGTGATTTTATTTTTAATTATGGATATTTGGATCTATTTAACTATTTTTAATGGCAACTAAATAAAATTGTTTTTGTTACTATAAATGTAATATGTAAATTTTTAAAAATAGCATATATAAAGTTTAAATGCAACCTAAATATAGGGTGTATTTATTAAATTTTTCTAGTATTAAATTATCTCGCTACATTATATTTATAAGATTCTAATTTCTTTTTTTTTAAATAATTAATAAGGCTAATTTGGTCTAATAAAGATTAGTAAGAACTCGTAGGGAAATTTACATCATTATCCTGAATTTACTGTTAAATATTCAAGTATTCCAAAACTTTTAAATAAAAGTTAGTTAATCGACAATATTTTTTATTATAGTTGCAAATTAATTTCTAAACTTTCAATTTTAAAATTGTTAAGTGGTGCTTTAGGATATCTAAGTTTTGTTACTAAACATGGAGTGATGTCCATAAATTTGAATTGGCATGCTTTCACTTGGCCGTGTGTTAATATGACCAATATTTGGATATTTCTGAAGATTATTTGTACAATTAAAATGAAAAATTGATGTTTTGAAAAGTCGGAGAATAATTTTCTAAGAGAGAAATATATTAATGACCAATGATGCAATTTTTTGAAGTCTTGATTGGAATGGTCTACATATCTGGGCCGTGCATTAGGCCCAACAATTCTCTAGAAACGATGGCAGGGCTAGTCAGTTTAATATTTATAATATATATATATATTTTTTTTACGATTTTGCTACATTTATATAATGATTTACATACATATAATATGAGTAAACATGATTGAATTAAAATTTCTTTAACACTATAAAAAAATAAAAAACTTTCCACTATCTTTTTGTCATATAATTTGTATGTAAATTATTATATAACTATTTTATGTATAAGTAGTATTATTTTTTTTTAATATAAAAGGAAAATTGTTAAAAATTTCAAAGCAAGATTCAAATTTCATATTTTGAATTTGAAAATTCACTGATGCGTGTTGCTGTTGCATTCTTGCTGGTAGGATCATAGTCTACTTAGCAGATTCTGGAATTTACGAATTTTACCACTACTGCTTAAGCTCTCGTTTGGCTCCTATTACATTAAATTACATTACATTTCATTTTTCTCTCTCTTATTTTCAACCACACAACTTTTCATAAAATAATGTTACATGTAAATCGAAAATTTTCACTTCTTTTTCAACCACTCATTTTTCAAAAAAATTACTATTCCACCCATTTTTACTTTAAAAAATGGCGGTCAAACAGGGGCTAAGTTCAAAAAGGCATCGAGAGGAGCTTGGCACTAAAGACATGCATTTTAAATCATGGATAGACAAATAAAACGTCCATATAAACACGTCACTTTCGATCAAGATCTTTTCGCCTTTATTTTGATTATGAATTTGATCTAATAGATAAACAGATATATGGTTTCTATCCTATTTTCGTCCGATCTCTCCCTCCACGTGATGACAAGGAATGGAGTGTTGCTTCAAACTCTTGTTGCTATCCTTTCCAATTACCAACACACAATCTTTTTTTATGAGCTTGTTTGGAAAGGATTAAAATCCGATTTTAATCTAAGTCAAAGTCCAATAATTATTATTAACTATATTTTTCATGGGCCTCATAACTTTTCAATCACACATTTAAAAAACTTTTATCACAATCTACTAAAAGATATAATTTTAATCCCAAGATTTGGCTTTGGGCAAATTGATAGATTGGTCTATCTTGAGATAGTCGTGTATGGAATATAATTCGAAAGAGAGAAAATTTTAAAAATTAAAAGGCTTTATCCCTTTAGGTTTGAAAAAAAATAAATTGATAATAATAATAAGAAACAAGTACCTAGAAGTAAAATTAAAAAGATAAAAGGTTATATCTTGTATTTGACAACCATTATTTCAAAATTTTTTAATTTTCATATTTATTCTTAACCACACATTTACAATAAAATATTTTACATGTAACTTCAAAATTTTTCCTTATTTTTTAATTATATATTCTTCAAAAAAATAATCATTTAAACTCTTGTTTGAGCTCTTTTTTCCATTAAAATGTATTCTTCAATGGTGATTTGATCCAATTTTCAACCACATTCTCCAATAATATAATATTATACGTAACTTCAATTTTTTATTTTATTTTTTAACCACACATTCTCTATCATAACACTATTGTAAATGCATTTTTTTTGAAAAAATGGGACTCGAACATCCCCTAAAACTCTATTTTCTCAAACTAATGGTCATCAAACGTGGGCATAATCACAAGTAGAAGAGTGTGAACGACGTGGTAGTCTGGTAGATTAGAAGTAAACAAAATCGAATCATGCTTCAGTGCGATAAATGTTGACATAATTTTTGACATAATATCACATAGTACTTTATCATTTGATTTTTTAAAATACAGTCAACTTTTTCCAATGGATTATCCTATTTCTACCTAAAAGTGGTACATAATAGATTACATAAAATGATGTGAAGAAAAAAGATTGAATGAAAGTTGATTGTTTTTAAATTGATAAATGATAAAATGACACATGATATTATGTAATGTATTTATATGGGAAAATTACATGGGAGCAGGTCTTTAAAGACCACTTTTAAAGAACCAGGTGCAAAGTTTAATTATGTATTAATCAGGTTTTAATTATATATTTTAATATTAATAATAATCTTATAATTAACCCACCCTAGGCTTAAATTCGTTTCCTCCTTTCTGGCTCTCTCTCATTTCGCGTCTCTCTGCAGGAGTTTCTCCTCTTCGACGACATGGCATCTTAGGCGTTGAGGCACGACATCGGAGGTGCACCCGTCATTTCGCACAACTCCATCGTGGCGCTGTTGCACGATCGTGGTTTCGCCACTTCTTCTCTGCTCACAACGTTAACGGAAAGAGGGTATGAGCGTTGTTTCTTCTCTGTTCAGATTTGTCGATCGACACTGCTGCGAACGGCAGAATGGCGACAATGTGACGTAGTGACACTGCCGCGAACGATGTAGTGTGGTGGAGGTATGGTGTGTTGTGATGGATCTAAGTAGCGATATTGGGAGTCTAGTATGGTGCATTTTATGTTTTGGGTGGTGTTGGTGACTTTGTAGGGCTGATGGTGGTGTGATAAATCTTGGTAGGAATGCCGTGGTGGTGATGATAACAACGGTGCTCCTGTTGGCAGTAGGTATCTGGGTGGTGGTGGTGATTTGGTTAGTGTTGGTGAGGTTGGGAATGGTGTATTGTTGGTTGTGTTTGGTGGTGGTGCTTGATGTGGTGGTCGTCCTGGTGGTTATGGTGGTTTTTGGAGGTGGAGACAGTGGTGAGGTTGTGGGTTTGTTATCGTTGGTGTTTGGTGGTGGTTTCTGGCGACGATGGAGGTGGTTGTTAGTGGCAACAATTTTGTTGGTAATGATGTCGTGGAGTTGGTGTTGGCGGTGATTGTGATGGTGTTGTGGCCGCGTAGTGTTTGTGACCAAGTACTATGGTGGAATGGGATTGGGTGTTTGATGTTTGTGACCAATTATTTGGTCTCCCCGTGACTGATTATTAATCCGTGACATAAAATTCGATCATTTTGTGACTAAAAAAATTATATGTGACCATCAAATTTGAAAATATGTTACCCGTGACCTATAATTTTTTGGATTTGTGACCAATAACATAAACTGTGACCTATAAAATTGATGGATAAATTGTGATCCGTGACTACGACATAATTTGTGACCTATCAAAGTTTTGATTCGTGATCTCGAAATAATTTGTAACCAGTGAATAAATTTGTGACCTATAATTGTGTGCACGTGACCATTAATTATATAATTGTGACTTTATTATATTTAATTAATAAATATTTTTAACTAATTAGATAAAAATCTGATTTTTGCATTAGTTAAACTTGAAATATAGTTTTTGAATTGTACATGGTTTATGAATTTTACCCTATTTATATAGTAGAGCCCTCAAAACCCATCATGTTTTTATTCATTGTGAGCCCCCCACACATTTGAGGTGCTATACACCTTGTCAGTACTCATCATGCAAGACATATCTCATATTTAGTAATGTTTCATGTATAATGAATTTAACGACATTGTTAACAATTTACCATATGACACGTTGTTATTGAATGGTTTAAAAAATAACCTATCTTTCTAATCAATAATTTTTTGTCACATCTATCAGTGTCAACAATGCTGTACAATATAATTGTACAAATAAATTAATTGATCTCATATTAACATTATTCAACAATGCATAGATTAACATGATTGTACAAATAGCATTTTCGATTCAGCAAAACCACTAACAATACGAAGACAGGCCGGCAACGCTTTTATTTCTCTCTCTACTTCACCACTCTCTCCCCCCCTCTCTCTCTCTCTCTCTCTCTCTGACAAAGACGTACTAATGAGTGTGGTCTCTCCCTATTGTTACCATTGTAATTCATTTATTTCTCGAAGTGTTCAGACATCGCTGCATATAGAAAGAAAAAAAGAGAGTGAATAGGGTAATCGAATCGGAGGGTGCAGGGGGTAGAGGAGGATGCTGTCCGCCGATGGATCTGATGCGGTCCGAGCCGATGCACCTAGTCCAACTCATCATCCCCATCGAGTCCGCTCACCGCACCATCTCCTACCTCGGCGACCTCGGCCTAATCCAATTCAAAGATGTAACTAATTTTTCTCCAATGTAGATATAGAGAGTATATTTTGATTAGTTTTATGGAGTTGTTGAATTGATGTTAGTTGCGGATTCTGTTTGTATGCCTTCGCTAGTGTTTTGCTGCAGTTGGAAATTTAAATCCGAGGTTCACTTATTTGGAGGGATAACGGAGCTAGGGATAACAGAGCTTCATATTTTTCAATTTGCGAAATTTTAATTGTGTGACTTAAGGATGAGCTTATTACTGTAAACAGCTGAAGTAATTGCTCTGTAGGATATCAGCCAGGAGTTTTGATTGAATAGCATGAGCAGAAGATTTGGTAGTCTGGATTAGATAGTATGAAATCTGATGGAATTAATAATTAATGTGAGGCTGCAGTGTTATTTTGACTTTAAATCTATTGACATGCTAGTGAATGTGAATGTGAATGTGACATGCTAGTGAAGGTGAAAGATAGAAATTTATGCATTATGTATTACAAATTAGTAATAGATAGTGTATAGCTTGTAATTATAGAATGGGGCGAGGTATTGCTTAGACATGCAAGTGGCTTCCACAGAATATTGGCTAAATATTTTCATGACTGAAGAGGATGACAGTTCTGTCTCTTACTTTGATGTCCTTATATACATAGGAACTAACAATAATTAGCAATTTAGCATCAACCATGTTTCTGTTTTTCGCATGTGCATGTGCTAATGTGCAGTTCCTGAGTTCCTTCATTAAACTATTTTTCCTTCCTTTATTTGATAAATACGTTCCTTTATTAGAATAGAGATGGGTAAAGGAGCTAGCATTATCACAATAGTTCCTTTCCCTGAATGATGTTTTGATTTTTTCCCCCTTTCAGCTGAATGCAGAAAAAAGTTCATTCAGCGAACATATGCCAATCAGGTAACTTGTTCATTCTCTCGATATGTGAGCCGTTGCAATAATTTTTTTATCACTACAAAGCGAATGTATAAGGGGTGTGTATGTGTGTGTGTAGATCTATTTAAAGTTCTGTTTTTCTTTTCCTTAGAGAAACCAAAGAATTCCTGAAGAATGTGAAATTTTTTTGGGTAGGATTTTTATACTTGCTCAAAGAATAATGAATGTTTGTTTGCTTGATTGTCATTCTTATCATTATAACGAGGTGAATCATGAAATTTTTTTAATATTGCGGGTTCAACTCCAGATCATTTTGGGATGTGAAAAGTGTTGCTTAAATTTTTAAATACTATTATATTTGTCTGTGGATTTTTGGGTTATACACAGATGGGATACTGTGTCCCAATGCTTTTATGGGCCGGATAGACAGCTTACTATTTTATCTATTTTTGATTTATACCGCATGTGATGTCAAATTCTATTCTCCTAAGAGCATGCCATTTGTGAAATTAATTGTTGGTTATCCCTCTTTTGAAGATCAAAAGATGTGGAGAGATGGCACGCAAATTAAGATTTTTCCGGGAGCAAATTTCAAAGGCAGGTTTTTCACCTGCAGTAAGATCTGTGACAGAAGCTGATCTCAATCTGGATGACCTGGAAGTATGTATAGATTCTTAAGAGTTCCTGAAATTGCAGTTTTCTTGGTAGTTGTTTAGTCCTGAATCTGCGTGCAATTTAGGTTAAGCTTGGTGGACTTGAAGCGGAGCTGGTTGAAATTAATGCAAATGGTGAGAAGTTACAGCGCTCGTACAATGAACTAGCTGAGTACAATCTTATCATACAGAAGATGTGCCTTATCTATTTGTTAGTCATCATAGTTTGTTATAGCAGAGCTATTGCACTATTCACACGTGGAACAAGAGAAACTTTGAAGGAGGAAAGAATGTTTAAGTCTATGTGATGAGGACATCACATATTTTGGGTTTCTACTTGTATGCTATTTATTTTATGTTTTATTAGTTGAATTGGGCTGTATTTATGGGCCGGCCCAAGCCCCTTTTATGCTGTAGATTTGGTCTTTTTTCTAGTTTTGCTTTGGGCTAGTTAATGTTTTGGTATTGGGCTTGCAAGCCTTTTTATATTTGGTATTGGGCTTGCACTATATAGGTAGGCTGGGCCATGCCTTTTATATTTTTGTGTTGCTATATATTCAATCCTTTTCTATAAATGGAGGGACATAATTGATGGAAATGAAATGAAGTTTGAGTGTTGCAGGCATTTTCTCCCTTTTCCACCCCCCCTTCACTTCTCTTCTCTTCCCTTCCCTTCTCTCCTTCTTCTCTAGCTGTTTATGTATTTTGCTTCTTCTGCTGGCTTCTTCAACTTTCACAGATTCTAAATTTTTCAACCTATGCTACATCAACTTAGTATCAGAGCTAAACCTGGATTCCATCATCAATCTGCATCCCATAACCCCTGCATCTCCCAAATACTTCATCTACACACAGTTTCTATTTACT